ATCGATGAATTCGAATGGGCATATTCATCACATCAGCCATCATCTGCATAATAAACGGTGATTTTTTTGCCACACCTCCTAAACCAATCAAACCATGAACAGGCACGCCTTGCTTTTGAAAACATTGAACAATCGCTTTAGCTCCAAAACAGGTTGACTCCACGATCGCACGAAAAATGCGAGGCGCACTTGACCCTAAATGAAGCCCTGTTAACGTACCCGTTAGGGCTTGGTTTGCATAAGGTGTTCGACGACCATTCAACCAGTCCACAGCCAATTCATCGTGTTCATCAAATTCAATTTGACTAGCAGCTTTAGATAAAGTCGGAATCATTTCATCAAGATAACGATGAGCATCTGGCACATTTAACGCTATAAATGGATAAGCTAAAACCTGTTTAAACCATGCATAAGCATCACCAAAAGCCGATTGTCCAGCTTCCATCCCTAACATCCCAGGGATAATCGAACCATCGACTTGCCCACATATACCTTCTATCAGTTGTCCAGTATGATTGACCGATGGCGCAATCAACATATCGCAAGTTGATGTTCCCATCACTTTACTCAAATGGTAAGGCTCAATTTGACCGCCCACAGCACCCATATGCGCATCAAATGCTCCCACACCGATCACAACATCTTCTGGTAAACCTAATTTTTGAGCCCATTGCGGATCAATTTTACCAACAGGTTCACTTGCCAAATACGCACGATCATACAAGCGAGAGACAAACCCTTTGAGTCGCGAGTCTAACGCAGACCAAAATTCATCCGGTGGTAAACCTCCAAACACAGAAGAAAACAAGGCCTTATGCCCAGCCGCGCAGATACTGCGTTTCATTTGCGACACATGTGTACCTCCCGTTAGCACAAAAGGAATCCAGTCACAATGTTCAACCCACGAATAACATGCCTTGGCAACTTTTTCATCGGCTCTAAGTGTTTTTAATAACTTAGCCCAAAACCATTCGGACGAATACACACCGCCAACAAACTGTAAATAATTGGGTGTCGTTTTGGCGGCAAGTTCGTTGATTTGCGCAGCTTCTTGTGTCGCCGTATGATCCTTCCACAACACAAACATCGCATGAGGATTGTCGGCAAAAGGTTCGAGTAAAGCAAGCGGTGTGCCTGATTCATCCACAGCAACAGGTGTGGAGCCTGTTGTATCAATCGACAAACCCTTGATACGACTTGCTTTTTCTGGGCCCATCTGTTCTACACAATCACGAATGCAGTGTGTTAAACCTTCAAGATAATCTAAGGGATGCTGCCGAAACTGGTGGTTAACAGCATCACAATACAGCTGCTTTGCCCAACGCGGATAAGCAAAAACAGATTGCGCCATTTCTTGGCCATGACTTGCATCAACCACAATGGCACGAACGGAATCTGTACCATAATCTAAACCGATGACATAAGCTGTTTGGGTCATTTTCTACTTTCTTTGAAAATATTACGTTAGTCCTTTCAATACTAACCCTATATATAATATCGATATTTATAGGCGAAGTATTGCTCACGTTCTTACTCCAATTCCACATCAACCGTGAATTTTATCGCTCCTGCTTGTCTTGCATTATTGCATTAGCAATGCCTTTGTTTTCATTTTGCATTCAACATTCAAGATAGATGTACAACTCGAACATCAAAACAAAGACCTTCGGTAAACGAGAATGGAGTATTATCCTATTTTGTCATCTAGACAAAATAACATTTTAACCTCTACGATTGCATCCTTTTCTGGGCAAAGGCAGGATAAAACTGACTTAATAAGTCAACCATTTCCGAGAAATGAATTTGCCCAGGTGCACTCGATTGTCCCCAATAAGCAAAGGTCAAAAGTGAACCCAAAGCTGGGAAAAAAACACGACTCATTAATCCTGCATCCCCCATGCCAATCAATATCATACGCTCAGAATAATGATTTAGAGCAAACTGGGTTAATCGCACCACATCTTGCGGTGATTGCAACGTCACAGCAATCTTAACGATATCTGCTCCGCTTTGCCATGCCTGTGCAACTTGTTGCTCTAATTGAGAATTAGTAGGGGTTTCCTGAAAATTATGATAAGACACAATAACAGCCTTTTGATGCATTCTAGCAAGCGCAATGACCTCATCTCGAATAGCACCTGAGGACTGTTCTATGTCGATACAACTCACCTCTGCTATCGTGCTGGCAAAAAGCTCCAACCGCGTCGCATCAGGTATATCGACTGGACTACCTTCAGCATGAGAACGAATTGTCAGGATAGTTGGCAAAACTGAAAATTGTTGAACAACAGCTAATACATGATTGATGTTTAAGTCTTGGTAATGGTCAAGACGCAGCTCGGCTATATCAAGTTTTTCAGCACAAATTGCACGGATCAAATCTTCATGAATGGCATCAGAAAAACTCGTAGCAATCAATGGAGTGGCATTTGTCTTTGCAAGATCCACTAGGGTTAAAAAATTTTCGTTGGACATATCCAAGACTTTATGTAAATTGATGTGAAAGATAACCTTGATTATATATTAGGATGATAAGGATACTCACTCAAAACATTTGTTAGCATAACACTTAGGCAAGACTAGCGCACAGCAAATCATTTTGCTCAACCTTACCTCCATTCATCTACAAGGCATATATAGTTTTGCATCATAAAAAATTTCTTACCATGATTGTATTGACATCCAAACCAGCTTATAATGGAACCACAAGTTCACGCAGAACGCATGACAGGGTGTTCTGTGCAAAAACTTGTACCTCATTGTTGAAAGTTGAACAGACATAATGGCAACGCAATGATTTATTATGATAAAAATTAATGAGACCCGAAGAAACGCACGCTAACCCGCGTGCCTACTGCCCATTTTTGAATATCCTTCTACACGATGAAGTCAGTTGTTGCTACTTTGTCAAATCAATATGAGGTTGAATTTTTTTTGATTTGATGAACTTTCGCCATCAGGTCAGTTGTTTAGACAACAGATGGAGAATATATGAAACTATCCGTACTGGATCAATCTCAACGCTCTGAAAATTGTAGTGGGCTACAGGCTATCCATGACACAATCACAGTTGCAAAAACAATAGATACGCTTGGATACCATCGCCTGTGGCTTTCTGAACACCATAACATGATGATTTTACAAGGATCCTCACCTGAAGTATTACTCTCATCAATTGGTGCTCAAACGCAACGAATACGTATTGGTTCTGGAGGAATTATGCTACCGAACCATAGCGCCTACCATGTCGCAGAAAACTTTAGGATGCTCGAAGCTTTATATCCAGGAAGAATAGACTTAGGTATTGGTCGTGCTAGTGGTGGTGATGGTTACTCACGCGCCTTGCTCAACACGAAAGATCGTGTTGGAGACGATGATTTTGAAAATCAAATCAACAAGCTAGATGTATATCTACATGATCAATGTCAACGCGCCTTTGCTATGCCAACGATTACAACAGCTCCACCGATGTGGCTACTATCAGGTGCAGGACATCCTGGAAGCGGTTATTTTGCAGCGCAAAAGGGGTTAGGGCTTGCCGTTGCCTTGTTTATTAACCCAGATGCAACACCTTTAGCAATCAAAGAATATCGCCAACGTTTCGTACCTTCTGAAGCATTTCCTGAACCACGTGTTATTTTGACCGTCTCTTGTATTTGCGCTGAAGATCCTCAAAAACTTCAAGAACTGAAGAAAACATCTGATTATTTTCGTATCATGCGTGACTCAGGTAACTATCCTAAAAGTGTACCCGCGCCCGAATCGATTCGTGATTTCACACTTCAAACCCAAGCCCAATCATATTTAGAACAAATTTCTTCACGACAAGTGGTTGGCAACCCTACTCAAGTCCGTGAACAAATTCTCGCAAAGGCTGCCTTATTTGATGCCGATGAAATCATGATTACAACCATGACTTACAGACTTGAAGATCGGTTGCAGACCTATCAGGCACTCGCACAAGTTTTTAATTTAAATCAATGATCTTATCGAGTTAATTCAATATTAGATCTATGACTTTTATCGTATCTTAAATGTTCGTTATTCTTAGATAATTAACATTTAATTTTCCCCGTTCCTCTGCCTGACAAAATGTCCTTTGGACAGGTATTGGCGTAATTTGTAATATTATTAACAGGAGTTATGAATGAATACATCAACAACAGCATCATTTAATATCAGTGAACTTTATGGTACATGGAA